TTTGTGGGTTTGAGCCCTGCATCAGGCTATGCTGACAGCTCAGAGCCTGGAGCCTGCTTGGGATTCTGTTCTCTCTCTCCCCCTCTCTCTGCCCCTCCTCCACTCGTGCTCTGTCTCAAAAATTAACATTGAAAAAAATAAAAATAAGACTGTACATTTGAGGAATTTGAGTGCAGCTATAGATGCTTCCAAGGCCCAGCATCCTAGCTATTGTGTGTTTCCGCTTATGACAGCGAATGTCAGTTTAGTGCAGTCATGCACTTAGGTCGTGAGTTACCTGCTGCTCTTCAGACTCAAATAGTGTGGTTCTGAGTTTTCATCTTTCTATTTAATGGCTTTTTTAATTTCTTCTCTATCAGGATCACATGTGCCTATTGTTATGCCTCCCCTCTTTAGCTGGGGCTGGAAAATCAAATGACTGAACTTAAAATAGTAATTTTTAAAATAGATAAAAATGTAGGTATTAACACTTTTTTCAAGTTTATTTTGCCTTCCAGATAAAATATTTCTTCCTGTAATTTCTTCATTGATCACATGGTATGTTTTTTTAAGTTTCCGAAAAAGCAAACTCCTGATAAATGAGCCTAATTACCATATTGACAGTGCTTTAAGAAATGAAAGGCAAAATCCAAGCTGTTTTTCAGGTCAGCAGTCTAGTACCAATGTTTAGGCTTCAGAGAGTATCAAAGAAAGGTAATGTGTAATTGTACTGTCAAGTAGTTTTCTATACCACCCAATATTTTACTCTCATAATGATGCATGGTTTACTAAAAAGGCATCCTTCTTGCCAACTTTAAAGTGATCATGCTGTCATTTTCAAAGGGATATGGGAGTGTTATGGTCACCTGCTGCTTTAAACCAGTGCCATTTACCAATTAGATGTGCTCCCAAGTAAAATGTAGCCTTTCCTGTGACAAGCATTCACCCCAGGATCACATTCATGTGTGGCAAAGCAAAGTTACCTACTTTATTCACTCTGACATTTGGGGATTCTTTTCTTTTATTGTCTGTAGTTGTGTGTGTATGTAAAACAATGTAAAAGAAAACGTATATAACAGGCTTGGCAGTATGTAGGAATCTAGACTTTCTTTGTGATGTACTTATTTTTTCATATAAAATCTTATTTTGCAAGTGTATTTCATTCACTGTATCTTGAAATTTGTACTATGATTTTTTTAATTTACAGAATAATTTCATAGTCATACCTGAATTCTAAAATTGTGTCATTTTTGTGAAACCATTTCTGAGAACCTTATTTGTTAATAACAGGAAGTAAAGAATCCAAGGAGTCTTTAAAAATTGACCATGGTGGCTGTTGGCTAGGGGAAAAAAAAAACATTTGGGCATTTTGCTGTCCAGATTGCAGTACACATACAGCAAACATGTGAGTGCCTGTAGGTGCCACCTACAGGCCTGGACTGGGCACAGAGTTGGATAAAGACATAGTTCCTGCCTAAGTGAAGGCACAGTTCTAGGTTGTTAGGGAATATTCAGCATTGAAACAATGTAGTAACTAGCAAATGGAGGTATGCTTGAATTTCTGGGCATCTTGAATCACTTTGGCTGGGAAGATGTTGGGTTGGGATGAGAAAGACTTCAGGAACGTCCTTCAGGATAGGACATTCCAGGCCGAAGCCATAGCATAAACCGTGGCTTCACTACGGGGGCACAGTATGGACACAGGAATACCACAAAGCGTTGCACATGACTTGGGCCTGATGAGAACTCCCTTTCTGAAGACAGCAGTTCTTTTCTCCATTTGACAATTTTGCTTTTTGGCCTAGTATAGATGTGAGTAGGTTTGTGGTATGAGGTTTAGAATCCTTATCTCAACTTAAAAACCTCACCAAAGAGCAAAAGATATTTAGATGACTGTGTCAACCTGAAAATAAAGAGCCACAATGAGAGGCAAATGAGTATTTATTTGGGACCAAAGAGTTGCAGTTTCGGGAGCACAGATTCAGGAAAGCAAGGTGGTTTTCATGAGGAAAACAAAGGGAGGTGCAATGACATGATTTAAGGGAGAAATTTTTTTTCTATGGGTGTTTTAACAGGCTAGGCTACTCTGGGTTATATACTGACTGAGTGCTGATTCTGTCTTCAGAAAGTCCACAACCACCAGACTTGTGATCCGGATGTCTGTTCTGCTGACTTTTCAAACAGTTGCTTAAAACAACTGCCGTTTTACCCAGTGCAAAGGTTTTGACCCAGTTCAAAGGTGAGTATGGCAGTTTCTCTCCACTGGCCACTCAGACTCGATTTTAAAATGGCTCCAGTAATGCCAGTTTTTCAGTTGGTTAGTCTGAATAATATCAAGAAATTAGAAAAGTAAAGACCTGCAAATAGATTGAGAGCAGTTTTTTAAAAGTCCAAATATGTGCTCTGTAAAGACTGCTGAAACATTCCAATTTTTCAAATGAATGGTTTTCACGTTTTTCAACATCAGCCCCTTCTGCATCTACCTCCTTTCCGTCTTTTGTATTAAAAGATTTTATTTTTTAATTTTTTTGACATTTATTTACTTTTGATAGAGACAGAGCACAAGTCGGGGAGGGGAAGAGAGAGGAGGAGGCACAGAATCCAAAGCAGGCTCCAGGCTCCAAGCTGTCAGCACAGAGCCCAACACAGGGCTGGAACTCACAAACCAGCAGATCAAGACCTGAGCCAAAGTCGGACTCCTAACCGACTGAGTCACCCAGGTGCCCCTGTATTAAACGATTTTAGGTGGCAACCATATTTTCCTTCTTTTTATCACAGGTTATACCATCAGAGCTTTTGATCAGCATACCTAAACTGTCTGTACGGAGTTGATTTGAGACCAAAAAAAAACAAACAAACAAAACAAAACCGTGGAGCCAGGGTGGGCAACCTTATCATAGGTGTGTTTCTAATAGGATTCCTTTAGATTTATGAAATATTGACAACTGCTCCTTGCCCCCTTCATGGGGTTTTAGAAAACTGCTTTGGAACTGCTTTTTGAGTCTTGGCTCATTTAAAAGTCACATTCCCAGTGTGTTCATTGGTAGCGAGTAGTTTAAGGATAAAGCACTAGAATTAGGCCTGGACTTACCTCCAGTATCTGACAGTGACTCCCTTCATCTCTGTTTGTGCTCGGAAGTTCTTGGGAGAAAGATGCTATGAATGACAAATACAGCCAAGGTAATTAAAAAAATAGAAAATATGAAAAAACGTGGCATTTAAAAATGAAGACCTGGGGCGCCTGGGTGGCGCAGTCGGTTAGGCGTCCGACTTCAGCCAGGTCACGATCTCGCGGTCC